GCTACAGTACCTAACATTTCACAACCTCACTTCAACAAAGCGACACAGAGAGCTATGTGGAAGTGCACTCTCAGGTTTCTGAACACCAATATGCCTCTAAAAGGGAAAGTGGAAACATGAACCTTTACGCAAAGGTCAAAGACACACACAGAAACACAAGATTTTGGTGCGGTCGTGTATCTGTTCTCGTCTAATCTGAGACATCAGAGCCTGAAACAACAATACAGGCTAAACAGTGTCAATCAAGAGTATGTTTTCTGGTCAAATTCATGTAATTAAAGCCTAATTAACTTGTAATTCTCCTGTGAAGCAGCTTTTAATGATCTGTTATTACTATATAATAATTTAGTATGTTATCCATTTTTTAGAATACTATCATGGTAATTAGAGATTTACAACAATGAAAACATTAATGGGACGAGGTAAATATAGGTTAAATAAAACAATAAATCTCCCGCTAACATGTTTTGGTCAACTTTGCACCAGATATATTTGAGTATTAAAGACAGAAATGTATCATGGTAAGCAATAGTTTCCTCCAAATTATCATAAATGCTACAGTGATAATACGATAATCAGTGTTGGGGAAAGTTACTTTTAAAAGTAATGCATTACAATATTGCGTTACTCCATAAAAAAGTAACTAATTACGTTACTTAGTTACTTTTTATGGACAGTAATGCGTTATGTTTCTTTTTAAATCTGGACAGGGCTTGCTTGTTTGTTTTTAAAATAAAAAAGTTCTATTTTTGGCAAATATAAAAGCCTTTTCACACCAAAAGTGAAATGAATAAGCCTCAGGCTGAAGGGAAAGTAAATTTACGTCTGTACAGTAGAATGCAGAAGAAGAAATTTCAACACACTTCAGCAATAAACAAAGATGTTTGTCTAGAGTAATTTTTGCTTATTAGTATGGTTGAACTGGATCATCGAAGGTCAGAAGCAAAGACATTGTTTAATAGAATGGGATTAAATACATAAAGGATATTTGTGTTGTTTAACATTTAATTATTGCAGGTTTGCGTCATATTCTGAGTTGCATTATTTTTATTCATTTTGAGGAATACTGAATCTGTGTTTTTTTTTGTGAGTGAGATTAATTAATGCATATTCATATTTATTTTGGAACTACAGTAACATCTTCTGATTTCTCTCAACATGGGGAACATACTTATTTGAAAAAGTAACTCGGATATTCTCTTGTAAATTAAAAAGTAATGCGTTACTTTACTAGTTACTTGAAAAAAGTAATCTGATTACGTAACTCGCGTTACTTGTAATGCGACACTGACGATAATACATTACAAAAAAAATTCACTAATAAATTTCACCAAAAAAATTACAAAGAAATGGCAAGTAACACTGAATGAAATGTGAAACTTTGAAGTAAAAAACCCTAAAATTGTATTTTCTTGTAAAACATTAATAATCTATGTTTTATTTACAACGTCAGAAAATAATTTGTTACAGTTTATAATAAATATACTATAAGAAAACTATTAAAAATACTATAATAAAGCTGTTAAAAAGTGGCAGTGTCCTGTACAATAAATTTTAAAAAAATACTGTATGGTTTACTGATGGATGACAATACTTCCATACATATAGCCTGATAGTGCTTGATTACCATATTATTTAATGTTAAAATTTTTACTTTAAGGCATCTCATAAAATAGCATAAAATGTGATATTAGAAAAATTGTGATGCTGTACAGTCATACCATAGTACTTTTTGAAAAGGCACATAACAATTTGAAAAAGACCCCATATTTATTTATTATGTTTGCACTTTCATAACAATGGTATATTGCCGTGAACTATGGTTGTAAATATTTATAAAGGATGTCTGCATAGATAAATATTATTGTTTATGTTAATAACAAAAGCAGCCCGAGTGTGTCACATCAACTCAGCTTACATAACATACATGCTCCACTGCATTAAACCTCTGAACTCAACCAGGTTCATGAGGATTTTAAGACTTTTAGGTACAAAATGCTCATAAAATCTGATCTAAATGATGGAGGATGATCCATACGAGCATATGTGTATCAACAAGATCTGCAACATGCAGCTTGCGTTTTAAAACCTAGTGGGCTGCCTAACTAGACCACATCATTGTTTCATTTTAGGTACTTAAGGAATACCATGGTATTACAATAATGGACGTGTCTAAAACACCGGCACTAGTATGATTTTCCATTATATATTTATATAGTAATGGTGAATGTGCTGTTGGCGACCAAAATACAATCTAGATCAGAGGCTTGCTGTATTCTGAAACAGTCTATAATGCTCAAATATGTTGCGTGGATTGCTGATTCCCGCCCAAAAACCCCGCAAGAGCTTATGATGCTCGAATATGCTGTCTAGATAGGTAGCTCACTAGGTTTTGGGACACAGCCCATAGAGTGCAGTTTACGGGTTATATGTGTGTAAATACAGAATTACAAAACATAAGCACTAACCTTAATTGTCCACTCGAAGTCCTCCTGAGGGAAAACAGAGCCTTTTGCTTGAGAGAACGAGGTAAAATGTGAATTGTTTAGATTGCGTCGTCTGAGGAGAATCCGTCTGTCAGTCCATCAGTAAATGGGTTAAAACTTCTCGGACGTGTTTTGGCGCAGATTGACAGGTATTCGCAGGGGGATCTTAAACGTTTTAACTGAGAACCATAAACGCGTTTTGATGCCATATAAAAGCCCTGAATTGCGATACAGCCGCACGTATTCGTTCGCTCGTCTGTCTTCCTCCCTCTGAGAGACTGTTTATCTGCGATCGTTGAGTTCTGCCTGCCGCGCTCGAGGGATCGACGTTCGATTGGGCTGATAATAAAAAAGCACGCGAAAGCAGCAGGTCTAGGATCAGTTCTCTGAGATGGAACGCCGGATCACGTCAGTTTAATTTAAACATTCAGACAGATCTCAGAACAGCTAAAAAAAATTAATAAATAAAAATCTCAGAACAGCTGCTTGTCGGCGGCCGTCAGGCGGAGTCTGTTACGTATACGGAGGGTCTTTAAAAAATCATATTAAAAGTCTAACGGGTTGTGAAACCGCAAAATGATCATGTAACGCTATCATATGTAGGGTATGTGTTTATTTCTTTTTGAAACATATTAAAAAGTAAAGAAAAAATCGGTTATGACATGTACAGTACAGTATCACAAAATATTTTACACATATATTAGCAGTTTACTCTTTGTTTGGACCTGATTTGACATTTTCTATCACATAACTTTTGGTTAACACAGCATACGTTAGCATAACACAGCAAATAAACATGGAAAAGACAAGAAAAATATAATCCAAGGCTGCCACCGCGTGGTATTGAGCGTCAAAACAGGGAAATAAACCATTCGATGATCGTACATTCCACGAATGAGCAAAACATTTAGAGAAGGAGAAAAAAGAAAGTAAACTGGTTTCATGGTTTAGGTCAAATTTGACATGGACCTGCTTACGAGCGCACTTGTACAGACCTGTATATATCTCTAAAAAATAAATAAATAAATAAAAGAAAAGAAAAAAGTAATAATGTAGATCGATGACGGAATGTATCGACAGTAATACATGTAAACGCATTAACTCTTTAATAGCATCTGTTATTAGAGCAGGAATTGAATGACATCGATTGGGGAAAAGTGAGGGTTCTGTCGGTCTTCTCAAGTTTATAAGAAAATAAAAATACATTTTAAATTATACATCGATGCATTGATACACATTGCTCTTTCTGCGATCTGCAAACTGAGGATTTGTTTTGGTCTTGTAGGCTAATTATCCTAAGACACACAAGGACGATATATTAGTTATCTTCTATTTTATGATCATTCATGTCTCTTTGGTATTATTTGGGGATGTATTTATTGGTTTTAAAACAGTAAATATATATTTTTTGTTTGCTTAATCTTGTAATTATCCTAAGAGATTTAGGGGTGAAATTCTGGATATGGTCAATTGCGTGATTCTTGATGTCTCTTTTGGAAATGTAATTCTTGGTTTTATAGGTTATAAAACAGGAAATACGTTTTTATTTTATTAATTTTTGTCCGCTAAACATTTTAGTCATACATGTTTCAACTTATTTTATGCAATTTACACAGATTTGATTAATTATTGCTATTTTACATATAAGCTATTGCTCTCTGAAATTAATAATAATACAAAAATCAAAAAATTATTAAAACAATATACATTACTGGTATAATCATAACAAAACCAACTTTATATTTTATACAGATTTCATTAATTATTTGCACTTTCCATAAGCTATTGGTCTCTGAAATGGGAAAAAAAACAAAATATAAATGTAAAAAATTTTTTAATAACATTTAAAACAATAGTATATTATTGGTATATTCATAACAGAACTAGCTTTTGTGTGGATAATTTGGCATTTGCCAATTAAACTAGAAAACTAATACCTATAGGTTATTACTGGTGTAGTATATAATATATTACACTGATATACATCATTCCCGAAAGTGTTTTATTCTGAAATTGTGACCCTGGAGCACAAAACCAATCATAAGTAGCACAGGTATATTTGTAGCAACAGCCAACAATACATTGTATGGGTCAAAATTATCGATTTTTCTTTTATGCCAAAAATCATTAGGATATTAAGTAAAGATCATGTTCCATGACGATATTTTGTAAATTTCCTACTGTAAATATATCAAAACTTAATTTTTGATTAGTAATATGCATTGCTAAGAGCTTCATTTGGACAACTTTAAAGGCGATTTTCTCAATATTTAGATTTTTTTGCTCCCTCAGATTCCAGATTTTCAAATAGTTGTATCTCAGCCAAATATTGTCCTATCCTAACAAACCATACATCAATGGAAAGCTTTTTTATTCACACTTTCAGGTGATGTATGAATCTCAATTTCAGAAAAATTGACCTTTATGACTGGTTTTGTGCTCCAGGGTCAAATCTAACGCTCGTGCACCGGCGCTTCTCTCCTGTTTATCGCCCCCTAAATGTTTTTTCCCGTGATGCTCCGCGTGGTCGAGAAGCAAGATGGCGGACGCTCTGGATGAATTTAAGAAAGAAACTGGATGCGTCCCGATCCTCCATCCCGAGGTAAAAATTCAGCCTTTATCCAGCTGCATCACGGCAGCGATCCTAAATGAAGCCGGGGTGTTTTCACGGCAGTAAAAGCGTTATTTCTCCCGCTCACAATGAAGGAGAGGGGCTAAATCCCCCCCACTGCTGCGTAATAGCATTGCTGCTAACGCTAGCCTTTCATATTCATAGATTATATTTGTAGTTGTCGTTTTATCGCATGTCTAATCTCGTATTTTAAGGCAGAGGTGTGTTTTTATTCCATATTGTGCAGTGACAAACGTGACATTAGCATATTTGTGCAAGTATCCACAGTGTGTTGTGCTGCGTTTGCATCTAAATGACAGACACCATTCACAAACACCACCATCATTTGCATTCATTTACCCTCAAATTTAAACATTGATTGTGCTATATTGTTTTATTAATATGCCTTTAGTACACTCTAGAAGTCTGTCTGAGTGCGTTTGGTTGCATTTTGGTGAAATTGATATAATGTCAGATCTGTTTCTGGTCTGTTAGTTATATGCAGGCTCTTATATTTCCACTAATATATTCATAGATAAATGTTATTACCAGTGCTGCGATGGGTAATTTACATATTCCCGACTCATTTCCGACTTTGCATTGACAGGATGTGTTGATGTAGGGAAGTTTTTCATGAAACATATAATTCTTGCAGACGTATAGTTTTATATGTGCAGTAGATGATGAATAAACTGGACACCTCCTCTGAGGTTAATTACTAAATTATAACATGACACCTCAAAAATGCATTCAATGAAAATTAATTGCATTCATTTTCACACTTCTTCATTGCGAGCCCAGAGTTGAGCTCAGTGCTGGTGTGTGTAGTGAGACAGCTTGCTCATATGAGACCTCCTGCTGTAAATTATTCATGCTCAGGCAGACTGACCATAGAGCTGATCACACACATGTAGTTTGAGGGAATGGAAACGTCAGCCTTGGCTTGCAGTCAATCAAACACACACTGACCTGTTGGACTGAAAGGAAGATCTCAGCAGACCTTTTATTGCAAAGTTTATCATAGTTATGTTATGTACAATATATTAATATTATGTGGTCAACCAATATGTTTTTTTAAATGGCCAATGTTTATATTACTGATATCTGCAGAGCATGGTGGCAAAGGCTGGCATAATACAATTTAATAACAGAAGCGAATGCTTATATTGCACAATATTTGCTCACAATTTGCTGAAGACAATGTTATGTTATGTAAATGACTTGCTGGTTGATTTAGAGGCTAGAACGTGAAACCATGATAGAGATGGTGTTTTGCATGTGGCCGTTTGAGATGAATAGCTCAGCTGTCCTCATATTTTAGTTTGTGATGGATTATTAAAAGGTTATATTATAATGTGGAGCATTGTTCCAGTTGCTCTTTTGCTGATTGTGGAAAAAAATGCGGGACTTGAAGTAAAACCTAAGATAAATTCATATTGGAAGCAGCATTTGTAAATTAATTCAGAAAAAAAAAGAAATAAAATAAAATAAAATAACCTTAAACCTGTTTTACTTCAGCTAGTTACCAAGGAAACATTTCTCATTTTCATTAACTTGTAGTAAAAAAATAAATAAAGATTAATGAAAACAAAAAAACATAGACATATTTAAAAAGAGAGTAACTAATAAAAATAACAGAAACCCAAAATTAATATATATATAGTTTTTAAAGTATAGTTTAAGTGTATATAATAAAAATGACAAAACCACACAGCAAAACTGCTAAAACTTTTACTTAAATAAGTGAAAATAAAAAATAGATAATAGAAAAAATATAAAAACTATTATACTTTATACATAAAATGACAAAAAAAAAAAAATGAAAAAAAAAACGATTAAAAATGCAATATAATGTATTTTTATTGCAATGATACTAATATAACACTAATGATGTTAAAAAAATTACAAAACCACACAACTAAATTTTAATAAAATGAAAATAATAGAAAATAGATCAATAAAAAGTAATTCAAAATATTAATACAAACTATTATGTGACTCAATAATACCAAAAAACATTGATTGTGCTTCGAAAATCCCACCGGAGCAGAAGGATTTAGGAAACCCCTCTACTATGAAAGACACAATCAGCGCATTTGTCTTTTGTTAATCAATGCTGTTAACTAGAGGAAAGTCAACAGGAACTCGTTCTCTTCAGATGCTTTGGCCCTTTGTCACCTGGGTGGGTGGCTTTGGGGCCACACAGTCATATAGTGAAGAGCCAGCCATCTGTTCTTTACCATCACCCATCAGAGGTTTCCTGCAAAGATGATGCTCAGAGGTCAAAGTAAAGGTGTCTGTCTGCTGTTGTGACTTTTGAATGGTGCGTCGATGAGATGAGATGCCCATCCTGTTGGAGGAAATGCCACTGTTTGCGTGCAACAAATTTAGCTTTGTGGCATTGAATTTTTCCACTGTATTTCTAGTGGCCTGTGGGTGCTTTTGTGGCTTTATATGTAAAAATAGACAAAGAAATGTGAAATCTGACTACATATGAGTTTAGTCATGAAAAAATAATGTTTATTCTGAGATAAAAATATTGTATCTTTAATTTCGAGTTACTGTGATGCATATCTGTGGCATTGCATTGACAGTGTGAATATAATTTCACGATGGCTGTTGACGGTCAGTCCAGACATGTCATTAAGGATGTTGACATGAACTAAAGATATAAATGGCTGACGTAATTAACAGAAGCTGTTGATACAGCACACGCTCTCCAGAGCTGAATGCTTAATGTCTTACTGTTTTAATAGGAAGCCAGTGTGTGTCACATGGTCCCACAGATGCTGTAACCACTCGTTTCCTCACTGGCAGGAGGAGCATTAGGCCCGTATTGAATTAGACCAGCTGCTCTGATACCAGGTGCAAAACTATTTGAATGAAACAACCAGACACCTTTATAAAGGCCTGCCGGTGATGCTGAATCTCCCTGCTGCTCGTTTTATCAGTTCTGTCTGGCGGTCTGGACTGACATGTCTTGCATAACATATCCGTTTCTCTGATCGTTGAAATGGTATATAATAACTTACATTAGCATTAATGCTATGCGTATGACTTACACATTTGAATTAAGTGCACAGAGAGCTCCTCGGTTTAGTCTACCCTGCTTTTATGCCACATTTACCATGTTTTCTAATGGAATACTAGCGTACTGTACAAATATATGTTTTATAATATGAATGGTTGTTGAGCGATATATATATCAGCAAGGCCGATATATCGGCCAATATTTTGCAAGTTTTTCCTGATAAGCAGCTTTTATTTTGACAGTGATGCGCTTTATCCAGTTTGCCAATATGTCATATTCATGTCATTTGTCACGGCACTGTATGTTACATTTGCATTACCTGGTCTTTATTTGAGAAAATATGATTCTCGGTTTGCTAGTATTTCATGTTTTCTGGAATACTAGTATTCTGTAGGCTACTTGTTAAATATGTATAATAAATATAATGTGAATTGCTGTTGACCAATATATATATCAGCAAGGCCGATATATCGGCCAATATTTGTTTTTTTTTGTTTTCTTGGCACGTTCTTCTGATAACCAGCTTTTATTTTGACAGTGACGGGACTTTTATTTTGACAGCACTAAGAATGGTAGTGAGCGTGTGAGATGTGAGCGTAATATTTAACTCGATGATTTCAAACTATGCTGTGCTCTATCTACTTTGCCGATATATGTCATATTCATGTCATATTTCACTGTGTACTGTATGTAAAATTAGCATTACAAAGTCTTTATTTGGGAAAGTTTTATTCTCATTGCACACAAACTTACCATATTAAAGAGCGCACTGATGGTTGCAGAGTTTGTCTTTTTTTATTTGTGTTTTAACCGTTTCTTTATTTGCGAAAAAATATTATATTAGGATTACAGAGTCAAGGAGTTGATAAAGCATGAATCTGTTTATTTTACAGATTTTTTTTATCAAGTTCAAATAATTTTTTTCATAGATTTTTACAATTGTTTTTAATTTAGTAAATACGTAAAATCAAAATTTCATCGCATCAACTTTTATTTAAATGAAGAAGTGTAATATTATATATGTCTGCTTTATATCGTCCAGTTATCATAATTGAAATTTTATTTATTTATTGATTGATTGATTTATTATTATGTTTTTTATATTTATGTAATTTAGATATTGCTTCCTGTTAATTTGTTGGACATTCATGTGTTAAGTATGTTTAAAGATAATATTTACCATATCCAAATCGCAGGCCATTATTAGGCCTGTCACGATAACAACTTTTTGTTGTGCAATATATTGTCCCAGAAATAATTGCGATAAGCGATATTATTGTCATTTTAAAGACCATTTTATGCCACTGAATATATAACCATAATATAACAGCATAATAATGCAAGAAGGCCTACACACTTACAAATGACAACAAACTTTTAATTTTTAAGAATATTTAGATCAGGGAAATTAAGTATAAAAATATTAGATACCTTAAAAAAC